ATCTGTATCTTTAGTTTTTAGTTTTACCATCATCTTCGTCGTCGTCATCATCTCTATCTTCATCATTAGGATGACATCATCACCACGATTTCACCATTAGGATGACGTCACATTTATAATTGCATCAACAACTAGAAGAACAATGGCGACCATTATCCGGAAACAAATTCGTCGTCACGGCAACGCGATGATCGTTATCATCACCCTTTCTTATCACCATTATCACCACCATTAGCAGCATTCTCATCGTCAGCAGCAGCAGCAACAACATTACAGACATCATCATCATCGTTGTCGTCATTCATCATTATTAATATCACCATCATCTTTATCATCATGTCCTTACATTTACATGAACATTTTCATCATCATTATCATCATTGTCGTCGTCATCTTTATCACCATCATCGTCATCTTCATCATCACCATCGTCGTTGTCGTCTTCATTGTTATCATTATCAAGAAAAGTTAAGAATTGAAAAAACTTGATCAGAACAAGGAAGAAATGGAGATGAGGAGATAAAAAAAGAAAAGAATGACAGAAAAAATGACCAGCAGAAGAAGAAAGAGAGAAAAAGAGAGAGAAGAAAGGAGAGAGAGAAAAGGAAGAAAAAGATAAGCAGACAGTAAGACAAGCAGACAGAGAAAGAGAGAGAAAGCTCATAAATAACAAGTTGCAAACATTAAACAAACGCCGAACGAACTAAATGTAGAGCATAAACTATAACACCAATTGCAATCGAGCAAATTTTACAAACATTGTATGTGTGTATGTTTGTTTGTTTGTTTGTATGTAAGTTTGTTTGTCTATTTGTTTGTTTGTACGTGTAGGTATATATACGCATGTATGTGCGTGCTAAATAATAACAACTCAAACATCAATAACAACAATAAAAATAAAAATAATGGCAAGAAAAAATTTTTTCCCGAGACAGTAACCAGCCGTAAAGTTAATTCAATATACCCAACAACAAACAGGCAATGAGCGACGTCCAATGTTGGAACAGGTCAATGTCAAAATCAGCGTACACATACACATACACACACACCACACGCACACACACGCACAAACACACACGCAAAAACACACCCACATACTTACACACACACGTACATACATGCATACATTCATACATACATACACACACACACATTCACACATACATATATATGTATACAAATCTACATACATATACACATACATACCAACATTCATACAGACATACATGAATGTATACAAACATAAAAAATCGTGTGAGAAAGAGCGTAAAAGTCTAATAAAATAATTGCGTATATATATATATATATATATATATATATATATATATATATGTGTGTGTGTGTGTGTGTGTGTGTGTGAGTGTGTGTGTGTGTGTGTGTGTGTGTGTATGAAGATATGAATAATGATAGCTTGAACGAAGTTACCAAGTACAATTATCATAATAATGATTTTCATGATGGTATGATAAATAATCTCAATAATAATAATAATAATAATAATAATAATAATAATAATAATAATAACGACGATAATGATGATGATGATGATGATGATGATGATGTGATGATGATGATGATGATGATGTGATGATGATGATGTGATGATGATGATGATGATGATGTGATGATGATGATGATGATGATATCGGCAATAATGTGAAGGGTGTCAAATGAAGATGAAGATGACGACGACGAAGCAGATGATGTTATTACCGTTAATAAAATGCAAATAAAATGCACATTAAAAGAAATATACATACAGGATCGCAACTTCAAAATGCTCTCTCGGAATGCATACAGACCAACAACTTGCAAAAAAGATGCATGCATACATGCAAAACATGCATGCAAAACATACAAACATGTGTATGTATACAAACATGCATGCATGCATGCAAACAAAACGAAAATACAAACATCTAACCAAGCAAACATACATTAAAACAGTGAAAGCGTCGAACATGCAAACACAAATATGCATACAAATATTCATACATACAAAAAACATAAAGACATACGTAATACATATATACATGCAAACATACAAACCATCAAACATAAAAACACATACAAAAAATAGATAGGAGAACTTACATAGAAAACCATTTCTAGATATTTATCTAAAAAATTGAGTTGTTGTTTTGGACGTCTTCATATACGAAACACATAAAACATGCATGTGTGCATGTTTGTGTGTATGTTTGTATGCATGTTTGTAAGTATGTATGTTTGTTTGTTTGTATGTATGTACGTTTGTTTGTATGTTTATATGTATGTTTATATCATTCAAAAAACAAATAAATAAACACATACATATGATTATACAATGACATATATATGTATTTATACGAAAAATCGAAATACATACACACGCACATACATACAAATTAATGCATACACATACATACATACATGCATACACAAACACGCAAAAAACATACAAACTTATGTATGAACAAACATGCAAATATAACCAAGCCAAACATTACGAACGTTAAGAAACTGCATGTTTTGGACCAAGAAGATGGTAATGTTGACAACGATCATCATCATTTTCTTCATCGTCATCATCAACAAGAACGACATGATGGTGAGGATGATGATGATCATCATCATCATCATCAACATCATTTAGAATTATAAAAGGCGACAAACTATTGAACAGTTTTTAACGTTATTATTTTGCCAAAATGGTGTTACGATGAGGAAGAAGAAGAAGAAGAAGAAAAAAAAGAAGAAAAAAAAGATGAAGAAGAAGAAGAAAAAGATGAACAAGAAGAAGAACAAGAAGAACAAGAAGAACAAGAACAAGAAGTATAACAACAAAAAGAAGAACAAGAAGAACAAGAAAAACAAGAAAAACAAGAAAAACAAGAAGAAAAAGAAGAACAAGAAGCTGATGTTGCTGCTGCAGCTACTGATGATAAGGGCGATGATAAAGATGATGACGATATCAAAAGAATGGTGTTGTGCTATTGCTCAAAGCAAATTAACGTCTGCGAAAATTACAGTTCTTTGGGCAATTAGATTAACCGTAGCTGGAACACATCACCACTATATAGTCATCATCATCATCATCGTTGTCATCATCATCATCGTCGTCGTCGTCGTCATCACCATCATCACCATCATTATCATCATCGTCGTCATCATCATCATTACTTACGTCATCATATATACATACATAGATACATATACAATACAATACAATACATACATACATCCATGCAAACATACAATACAATACATGCATACAATCATGCATTTTCCATGTATAATGCACGCATACTCGCTAATGACATTGAGATTAAAAATTAAATAGCAATAGTAAAAACATCATCACACCCAGCAGCAGCAATAGTAGCCACTTCAACGACATTAATATGCAAACAACCACAACAACAGCATCAACTACAACGACATATGAGAATAATGATGACTAACATATCTTGTAGTAATATACATGTACGTACATGCAAACATGTATGCGTACGTACGGCAACATAAGAAAAAGCAATGAAAAAGAAATTAATGAGGAGCATGGAATGTGTATGTATGTATGTATATATGTATGTATGTACGTATGTATGTATGTATGTGTGGGAGTGTGTGTGTATGTATGTAAGTATGTATGTTTGTTTGTATGTATGTATGTGTGTGTGTGTGTGTATGTATGTATGTATGTATGTATGTTTGTCTTTATACATGTGTGAGCATGTGTACAACTATGTATGTATGCAACTATGTATGTATGCAACTATGTACGTATACGAACGTCGCTTAACGTTCGTATACGTATATATAGTTTATCCTATTTGTACGTGAAATACTTTAATATATACCTTGTACACACACATAAATACACATATACGCATATATACACATACCCAAACACACACACACATACACACACACATAAATGCACAAAACACAGACAGAACAGTAGACTATCTAGCTAGACATTACAAAAACATCCCTCTATATTTTTTCCTCTTAGTTACATGCACCTACTCATCAAAATACCAAAAAAGCATACACATACACACAAACATATACAAATACCACACTCACATACGCACTCATTGACACGTTAGCACATGAAAAATTAAAAATACATACTTACAGAAAAACATCCAAAACATATCATATATGCATGCCCATATACACGCATTCATACATAGATGTATTTTGCATACATACATACATACAAAACATACATACAAAAGTACAAACAGACATGCAAACATGTATATACGCATACAAACATACATGCACTTAGTTTAAAACATATCTCGACATGAAATAATAACAAACACGTGCACACAATCATACTAACTTAAGTATGCCCGTACATGAAAGCAAACTGTGTGTACATCGTACTTCAGTGTGTACTACATGTGTGTGTGTTTGTGTAGTATGCATGAATGCCTGGATGCATGCAAATGTACGTTATCACATCCAAACAAACATCGGCAAGCACACAGAAAGACATACATACAAACAAACAAACAAACAAACGTACGCACACATACATACATACACACACACGTGCATAAACACATACACAAACAAACGCGCGCGCACACGCACGCACACCTATTATTGTTTCATACCATCTAGGGAGGCAAAAACAAAATGAACACAAGCCATCCCTCACATTTAACTCTCATTAATTTCGAACGGTTGAAATAACAATGTTCAATTGGAAACAACCAGACGCCACATAAATTTCTAAATTATTAATTAGTATTAATTTATTTTATTATTTATATATAAATATATGTTTGTTTGTATGTGTGCGTGTGTGCATATGTAATTTGTGCGTGTGTGTTTGTGTGTATACCGAAGAGAAACACAGAAGACCACAGACAAACGCGCGAGCATGTAAGTAAAAACATCGAACGAACCTGCCACATTTACACCACCACCACTACAGCCATCATCTTCAAAACCGACACAGCCGCTGCTACTGCTACTACCGCTACTGCTGCAGCCGCCACTATTCCCGCCACTACTACTCCCTCCATTTCTCAGGGCAACCATCTTGTTTTCCTCGCTCTGGTCCAACCACTTTAACATACGTCTGAACGTCTCCCGACCTGATTTTAACTTACTCCAGGGTTTTGGGTTTCTAAGTAGGTCACTGAGTGTTCCTTGGCTTCGACCTAGGACCTTCTCTGCAAATACTGCTTGCGGTATGCTGAACTTTTTCAATTCGTTGTTCACCTTTGTCAAATTAAATTTGAATTAGTTAAGAATTTTTGGCAAAATTTTATTTAGATATCCTTCTTATCTCAGGCTGTAGGCTGGTGTAGCGGTAAAGTGCTTGCCTCTGGCGTTGAAGTGATGGAGTTCAAATGTAAAGAGATATTCCGTCTATTGTGAACGCATGTCTGTACGCAGGGCGTTTTTGGCAAATTTGATTCAAAGTTCCCACGGCGCTATATAAATCAAACGTCATCACCATACAAAATTAATTCTATTAGCATAAATAAGTACAGTATGTTCACCTTAGTCGCTATTTCTTTAGTATTTAATTCTTCTTTGTCGCTGGCGTTGTCATTGTTGTTGTTGGTGGTGGTGCTGGTGAAAGTTTTGTTGCTGCTCTGATAGTCAATATTGCTGCTGATGTTGTTGTTGTTGTGATATTCAGCGTTGTTGTTGCTGCTTATGACGTTGCCGATGACGTTGCCGATGACGTCATCGTTGTTTTTGATGTTGTTGTAGAACTGTTGAGAGTTATTGTGAATGATGAGATCGGTCGTTGAAGATGGCTGATCATGATTCGGAGACAGTTGGTAATAAACAGGCGCCGCTGCCGATACTGCTGTTGCTGCCATGTTGCTGTCAACGTAAATTTGTTGCGCAACATTGTTATTGCTGTTGCCGAAGTTTGGAAAATTGTTGTCGTACGCGATATTGATGTTGCCGAATGATGCGTCGCCGTCATCTGCAAAGTAATTCTGAGTCGTTGTTGTTGTCGACGAGACTAATGTCGTGTTGTCTTCTAAATCATAAGTAGGATCGTTGTTTATGATGAAGTTGTTGTTGTTGTTGTTGTTGTTAGCGTTGTTTGTGAAATTTTGGCTGTTGTTACTGTTGAGCAAGTTGATTGGATAGCTAAGTGCTGAAGGAGTTTGCTGAAAAATGAGCTGTTGCTGCTGTTGTTGCTGCTGCAATTGTTGAAAAGGCCAATAACTTTGCAACTGTTGCTGTATTTGTTGCTGCTGTTGTTGCAACTGCAGTTGTTGTTGCTGCAACTGTAGGATTTGTTGCTGAGTAGTTGAGTATATCTCTCGCTGTGGCAGCAGATTTGGTTGCTGCTGCTGCTGCTGCAACTGCTCATCGTAAAAAGTGAAGTCTGTGATAAATTGCGGTTGAAAATTTTGAAAACTGTTGGAATCTGTAAGAACATTTCTGTTGCAAAGTGTGTCAGAAGCGCAACCACTATTCAGAATTTTCTGGATAATCTTATCATCATCGTCGTCGTCGTGATCTGAAGGTTCGACAATCAATAAATTTCTTGTTTCTTTGTGGTTGTTGTGGCGCATTTCAGAGCCACCATCACTCATGACTTCATCGTCGTCGTCATTGTTGTTGTTTGCCATGTAACAATAATCGAGATCAAATGAAACGTTCTTATCATCACTTTTAATTTTATCTACAATTATATTATTATTAGTAGTAGTAGTAGCTGCTGCAGCAGTAGCAGTAGTAGTAGTAATGTCATTTATAAAATTATTCATGTTTATATTGTTGTCAGTGGTGTTGCATTTTCATTGATATCCACATCAGTTATAGTACTTCTTTTATTATTATTAATATTATTTTAATAAATTTAACAAAGTAAAATTTATAAATCTATAATAAATATGCAGTTGATTTTAAATGCTTTCATTTTAACCATGACACTTCTTCTATCTCTAATGCTACTGCTACCCATTCATCATTTTGCCTTTGATTAACATCTACATACTATATTTTCACATATACTACTACTACACTATACACAACTATATTTTCATCTGTCCATTCTTCTCAGACATATACCATAGTATTAATTAACATTACAACCATCTACCAACATTAAACTAAATATCTTGTAAAACAATCAAATCTTTTCATTACACATTTAACACAACTCTCACAACCTACACAAACGCACACTTATTCAACCGTACACACACACACACACACACATACGCATGCACAGTGCACAATACAAAGTGTACGTCTACTTAGTAATGTGGCATCCAGTGTAAACAAGGAAACTATTCACTCTGATTCCTCTTTTAAATCTTTACAGAGATGCTCTGCCCCAGAGTTTCAATTGCGTTTATCTACATATACGCACATACATATGCGTATATCATTGTATGATATATATTAGAGTACATATACGAGTATATATATACTCCTATGTTTATATATAAATGATATCTATATGTATCATATGTTTGTATATGATATCTAGATGATATATATGGCTATATACATAGCAGTTTTATTTATGTTTGAGTGAGCTAAATAATATAAGTTGCTAAATCTTAAGTATTATTGCCATGTATTTTTGTATATGTAGGTATGTATTATTGTATCAATCTAGTATCAAGATTGTATCAAGTTGTATCATATCTATCAAGAAACGAGACGAAATTCGATCAAGGCATTATTATATTTTCAGCGACAACAAAAATTTTTTTCAACTTTTGAGAAAATAGAAAAAAAACAGATTAAATAAAATCACGTTTTTGAGTTTTGAAAAATTAAACAACAGCCTGTCATTTGAGGCACGCGTCTAACTAAAATAAGTAATTTATACATAATAACTGAATAAAATTTCAAAAGACAATTTCTGTATAATGTATAAGATATGACAAATGAATGATGGATTCAAACGAACGAACGAACCAACGAACGAACGAACGAACCAATCCCAAACATGCAACAGTGCAAAAAACCAAACATGAAAGATTTTCATAAACAAAATATAACAATTTTTTCAACAAACAAAGAAACAAAAAAATTTTTAACATGACTTTAGTTGCTAATAACGTTGCTATATCTCGATAATAAACTAAGAACAGATGAAATGAATAAATGCTTCAGTCTGGTTAGCTAGCAAAAATATGTCCACATTTTCTTGATATATCACCGAATGATTGAAACAATGTGATGGCAGACTATGTAAATTATCACCAGATCATAAATGTAATCAACCCATAAAATAATATCAATCAATCATTCAGTCAGTCAATCAATCATTCAACATATTATTCAACCCTTCAATCAATTGATTAATCGTTTATTCATTTATTTATCCGTTTATCCATTCAATCACTCATTCAAACAACCATTCCGACAGTCATACACTCACTCATTCGGTCATTAAGTCTATCATTCAATCACTCACTCAACCAATCACTCAATCAACCACTCATTCAATCAATCAAACAAACACTCGATCAATCATGGCTCTGTCTCTTCAGAAACTCCTGATAAGCACTTTCAGACATAAGTTTCTGTAACTCATTATGATCCGTCAGCTTTAATTTAAACAACCATCCTACAAAGATTACAAATTTTTCATTTTAATGTTACCAAAAAAAACAAAAAAAATTGAATTTAAAAAAAATAATTATTATTAAATAACTTTTACCCATTACACAGCTGACCAAAAAAAAAACAAAATAAAAAAAGATCCAACCTTTCTCGTAACAGGACTTATTAATTATGCTCGGGTTTTCCTCGGCCTTGTCATTCCTCTCGACAATCTCTCCAGATACCGGGGTGTAAACTTCAGAGGCCGCCTTCACACTTTCCACTGCACCTACCTCATCTTTGGAGAAAAAAATCAAATCTTTTTTTTTCTCATTTTTAAATACCTAATTATTAATTCATTTTTAATTATTTAATTATAAATTATTATTATTGTTAATATTATTATTATTAACAATAATAATAATATTATAATTATTATACCTCCTTTGTCATATTTATCCCCGACCTGGGGCAGCTGACAGTACACGATTTCTCCTAAAGACTCCTAAAAAAAGTCAGAATTATTTATAAAAATAACTATATTCAAACTATAATATTACCACTATAATGAAAAAAATATTATACCACCTTATTGTTGATTATAATAATGAAATAATATTATTTTATTATTAGATATAATTATTTTTATTTTTACTGAGAGGTTCTTCAGCTACCTGAGCATAGTGACTAATGCCAATGGTTCCTATCTCACCATTCAATGAGATCCATTCGTGTTTTTCTGAGTATCTTCTTTCTAAATAATAAATAAATAAATGAACAAATAAACTAATTAATTAGTTAATTGAAAAAAAAATAAATTAACTAATTAATTGTAGAATCCTTAATTTAATTAGTTGGTAATTAAGAATTAATAAAAATAAAGTTATTCATTTATGATTTGATCAGTAAAAACATGATAAATAATAATAATAAATTTATTTTTATTGATTTGATTGATTAGTCTATTTATTTCTATTTAATTCCAAAGATAAAGAACATAGATATAGAATTGTTAGTTGAATGAATGTTAGGTTTTGTTAATTAATTTTATTAATTTAAGCACTAAAAAAATTATTTCATATTATTTAATTAATATATGAAATAAACAAATAAACAGGCCAAAGATAGCACATGCATATTAAAATTTAACATAACATAACACACATATAGATGGATGCATTTTTTGGTCCAATCAAAGAAAAATACTTATAAAAATTTTCATGTTTCAGCAAACATTCAAACCTGACACTCACCAGCGTTGACAACCGAATTTTTTGATAAATATCTCTGACTAGTGATTCGCTGATTAAAGTGGTGACCTTTGAAGAGAACGCTGACTGAAGTACTCTGACCTTTGCTCATTCTCAATAGCAAGTTCATTGGACTTCGGAGTAGACTGGCACACGTCATGTTAAGTTTCTTTACACAGCAAACAAAAACTTAACAAAATTAATTATTTATAAAATTAAAGACAACGATTTTATATTACAATTTGCAATAAAAATTTCCTTTTTTAAATTTAAAATGACGATACGAGAAGATTTGTTATCTGCGGAGACAGAGAAAGAGAGACAACAGTTCAGCTGGCTCCGATGATGAGAAATGTGCAGATTAATTTAAAAGTGAACTTGGAATTTAAATTATAATTCTGAAGATAAGGTAAGCATGAGTGTATTACGTAGGTAAGTTATCTAATCTAATGTTGAAAACATACGATATCATTCAAACAATGCTTCTAGATCATTATTATATCATAGGGCAACATTATCACAGCTCTCTTTAGTATAAATAATTTAATCTACAAACATCAATTTGCCTGTCGTGATTTTATTTTTCTCCAAGCATGGCAGAACAAATTAGAGCAATCTTTCTTCTCTTGGCATTCTGCTTCGTGTGCAAGGCATTTGATTTCAATTTTGAAGTGTTTGATGAAAGGGACGTTCGTGTCGCGTACGATTTGCTTCCTCTCAAAAATATATCAATACCTAACGCTGGCAACTTGAATTTCCACGTCAAGGTAGACAAAAAAGGCACAACATACCAACTACTTATCAGCTCCTATCTGACCAACGTCAACACAAAAGATAGGGCTTACCTTTGGACGGGTCTGAAGAACTTGACAACCGCCAAACTTGTTCCTCTGCCTCCTACTCTCTACTGGCCTAAAGACATCACACCCGCCCCTAGTACTAATTGTATTTGATTATTTTCTAAATTAATGTTTTCATTCGGAATAAAACTTATCATCAACTCATTTTTTTCAATAAAACAAATTTTATTGACTCTACTATTGATTTGTAACATGAATAAAGTTTGCGAAATTGTACAATTGTACCGGTAAACATCATGTTAGGGAATGCAACATCGATAACTACGAACAAACAAATAACCACCATAAAACAGATGATGCCTTTCCGTTTGAGCTGGCAGTGACGATCCCAGACGGAGCGGATATCGTAGGTAAAGGAGATGGAAAGGTGATCCTGGTCGATATAAGCGACATCAACTTTCAGAATTATTTCGATCTAACGAGTCCGAAAACCCCGACCAAGAAGACTTTCATTTTCGGTAGACTAATATGGATGGACCTCGGTGGCATTAGAACTAATTATCATTTTCTCACTTGTAGACGCATTATCTCGGGTTGGTTCTATTGATTTGTATTCATGCTTACGTCAACAGCAATTTTAAATTGATTTATTGATGATGTATTGACAATTTTTAGCATTCCATCTTTAAAAATGACTCTTTTAAAAACAGCATTTTAGTATTTTTCTTTTTGCAATAACGTTCATCTTGAAGAAAATAACTTATCTCTCACAACAGAAAAATAAAAATATAATTTAAAAATCACATCACATTTCAGTACAACCAGTCCATAAAACAAAAAAATTCAATAATTTAATCTCTTCTAAACCAGACGTGTATAATTTTTCAGAGGGTAGAAACCAGTTAGTACTCTACCACAGTCCCTCCCTTGGCGAAGACTTGACCAGACCGTGGGTGGACATCATCCTCAAGGAAAACGCCTGTGACGGCAATCTTGTACTGGCCCACATTAAACAAAAGAAAGATGATTGGCAGGTCGTCTATACAACTGGTTAGTAGCGCAAGATGGCGGAATGATGAAAAACGTCTGGTGGGTAAGTTTTTTCGAAATGGTCGGGTTAGACCTCCAAAAAAATTCCAGCTGCTATTTTTAATATAAAATTACGTTAGGCTGAACCGCATTCATTTGCGTGTCATACTTGATACCTCTGAGTGATGCAATCGATGAGAATAATTGCTAGGTAACGCTGAGACTGAACTGTTTTAAAAGTTTTTCATCAATTTCTAAAAGCAGTGCAGAGCAGATATAAACAACATCAAATAATTAAATAATAAACTAATAACAAGTTGAATTGGTATTGTTGGTTATTATGTTAGTAAGTATTTTAACAGTTGAAAATGAAACTGTATACACAACTTTGTGTATACTACAAACATTCGTAAAATTTTTAATGAACATCAAGAAATTTAACTAAAATCATATTTTACTCGGTTAAAGGCAAAGTTATGAAGAGCTTGAACTTTTTCTGGCCTGAAACCGCCAGAGGTAATCCTGGATCGTGGGACGCTCCTGAAGAAGTTTGTCTAAACAATTTTTGCAATATTATATCTTATTATTTATAACGTTAATTTATTGAAAACAAACTTTAAAATATAAAAATTTACTTTCAAATAACATCGCACATTCAAGATAAAAGGTCTGGTTTTGGAAAAAGGTCGGGAATATTTCGATGTTTTGGTCGGTGACATGAACAAAGATGGCTTCCTTGACGTCATCGTCAGCGTGCAGGGATCAGGAAGTGATAGGAATGGGACCGTAGAAGTCTGGCAGATTGATCCGCTCAACTTCCGGTTAAAATAAAAGAACCAAAAAACTAATATTCATATTATTAGATAATCAAAAACATATAACAAAATAAAGAATGAAATTTTTTAGGGAAGTTTCAGGATATGTTCGACACGTGATAGCTGGAGATTTCATTCCAAGGATCGGAGCCAAGGATAGGAGTCCCGGGTCACTCAAACTTTTCTATCCTGATAAGCAGTCCGTGTTATCTCAATATGTACATTTTCATTCATATATTTCTATTTGATATGTTTCAATATGTTCATTTCGCTGTTTAGAATGTTTTTGTTGAAGTTTTGGGTTGAAGTTATTGAATTTGTAATGTTTTCAAAGACTGTTAATATTTTTGAGAAACACATAACCTCATCATCGCCTCGGCTACGGTCATCATTATTATTGTGAACATTATAACCATCAACACGTTGTAATCATCGTCAATATCATCGTCTTCGTCATCTTCTTCATCGTCGTCAAAACATCATCGTTGTCTTCTTCCTCACCTTCATCACTGAACCTCAAATACAGATCAGAAAGTGGCAAACCGTGGGTTCTGGTAGCTGGTGGCGATAATGGCAAAGCTTACTACCTCCAACCAAACAACAATGACAAGTATAAATGGGATTATACCAAGGTAATGTTGCGTGACTTACATTATTAGCACGTTCAAATTGCATTGTTCCATCGTATCATTCTTGTCGTCGTCATCATTATGATATCATCCTGATCAATCCAACATTATCATAAATATCATCATTAAGATATCAATCCGGCATCATCATAAATATCATCATGAGCTGTTGTCATCGTTGCCATCATAGCCATCGTTGTCGTCATCATCGTGTGATTGAAAACTACAGAGCGTAT